CACTCCTCTTAAAGTGGCCATGTTTGGACAACACTGCATAAGACTATGTAGAACTATGAACGTGACACATCATAACCTATTGGATTTGCACATTGTCAATGGAAAATACACTTCAGTTTGCTATTTTTTCATACCGCTCTCTCCTGCTGTAACTTGCAACTGGCAGGCTGGGAGTCAACTTTTCCAATAGAAAAAAGGCATGAGACGTGTGCAGATGTGTGCTCTTCCCAAAGAGGTGCAGCAGCAGAAAAACACCATAAAATTTCTGAGTTTTTGCCACTGTCAATGTAAAAAGCCTACTTGTTATGAAAACAAGTGAGTCTATTAAAAACAAAACAAAAACTCTCCATGTAGCTGAATATACAATAGAAGTGACTATCCGTTCATTTTTTTTTTTAAGTACAGCATTCAGTACTTCATATACATTAAAACCAGCCTCATCTTCCAATGGTTTTCCTTCCACAGTTCAGGATGAAAAAGCATCACAATAAACATTACATTGGTGTATATTCAGCTGTTGTAGAGAAAGGATTGTTTGAGAGAGAAGAGAGAGAGCAAGTTTAGGAGGAGAGTGAAAAATGGAAATGGGCAGAAGTGGCTTCCAGTGACAGCTTGGAGAAGATGGAGCACAAGAAATATACTGCCAGTTTCATCATCATCATCATCATCCATAAGAGATGACAGCCTGATTGGCAGTGCTTTGCATGTAAGCCATCATCTTTATACCAGTTTGATTTCTGCAAAAACTGCAAGAGTTGTGCTGATGAACTGTTTCCCAGTCATAATGTCAGTCATTTGATCCTACTTTCCTTTCTTTTGTCCCATCTTGTATTATGAAGAAATGGAAATAATACAGATATTTATTTGCAAACTCAGAATACCAAAGTAATCTTGAAATTCCAGAACTGGGTTTCAGCTACTTTGTAGAGATTTGGCTTCATATCATATAACCACAATTCATTCAAATTAGAGTGGTTGGCATATACAGATGGCACATCAATTAATTTTACAAATGGAGTACCTTATTTTAAAGGCAATTAATTTTAATCCATTCAATTTTCTTTTGTTCCAGCCATTTGGAGATGAGACATCTTGCTAAACAGTGATTTATAGTTGAGTTTTTCTACTGTAAATATGACTGAATCATTACCCCCTCCCCAAAACCTTCCCATTACTATTTTAATTAAAGTTAAGTTATTGCAAGCATTCCAAGACAATCTTTACTTTCTACTTAATGGATTGACAAATTTGAGAACATTTTGATTTAGCTTTTCAGAAATGATAAAAATCTCTTTAGAAGGGAAGAACGTTCACTATCCCAAAATCTCTAATACTAAGAGAAGCTGGTAATAGGAAGAGCAATTGTTAGATATGGAATTGGTGGTACAGTATTTACAAACCCAATTCTTTGCAGAATGTACGAGTATAAAAACAGATGAGTGACATATGAGACAACAGACCTACATTAACATGTAGTATGTTAATCCCATTATCAAAAAAAAATATTCCATTGCATGGGTCTCCCCAAGAGGGTTTTTCTCATCTGTCATGCTGAAATAAAATGACAGATGATTTAGCATAATTCAATATTCATGAATGAAGGAGCCTTCAATTTACAAAGAGGACAGAGACACAAAAGCAAATCCCACTGGAAAATAGATTTTGCTGATTTCTAGGGCTACTAGATCTAAACTGCAAAAATCCAGACAACTAGTATGTAGCAGCAAAGAACTAGAGCTTTCTGTATCTCTTTCCTGCTACCTACTGGCAGTCTGGATTATTGTAGCCCAGAACTGGCAGCTTTACTCATTTTCCTTACGCACATCTTAAATTCTGCCAGTCTTTTGGGGGAAAAAAATTAAAAGGATTGTAAGAGCTTGCAGGGGAAATCAGAAAAACCAATCTTCACTTGGGGGATGCCCACTTCAGTAAAGCTGACTTAGGATCGTAGTCAGTAAACGTAAATAGCCCAAAGAAAAAGTGTGCAACAACCACAAACATTTCTTAATTAAAATGTTATATTCAACTAACAAGCAAAGTTTACCAAAAACACTTAAGTCTTCTTTCTTTCAAAAGCATAGTTTTTCATTGGTAAATCATTAACTTTTGCTAAATTATTCCCATTATTTCTTCTGCTTGATTAAATATAAAGAACCAAAAAAGCTATTAGTATAGTCCTATTTGTTTAGATAGAAAACCCTATGCTGTCTCAAAACACATAGGCACTTCAGTGCAGATTTAGAACATTAAAACCCACCTACCTTTACAGATCCATGTTCAAACCCTTGCATCAAATGTAGAAAAAACACCATTAATGTGTTTACAGTTATCCACAGCTTGCACATCCTTGAGTTTAATAACCACTCTTTGCTTGCTTCCAGGTTGATATCATACAACTGGACCAGAAATTGTTTCAAAATACATATTCTATGAACTTTTTTTTCTTACAAAAACACACAATCCAAATTTGCATCCCCTTCGGCTGTAAAGTTGAAAAACATAACATGGGAAGTAAACAAACAAGAATGGTACTAGCAGAAACCAACGTGGTTGAGTCCAATTCTCTTAAATCATGTGATTTCTAAGTTTCCAGTGAAACTTTTTACAATTAAAAAAAATACAAAATATTTTTTAAAAAATATTTTCAGACAGTAGCAAATATAGGCTGCAAATATTAGCTCACAAAGTTAATCCATCTCCCACTCAGAGACAAGAAAACATTCAGTATTCATTTGTGGTTCAGGAAAGGTTAAAATCTTGCTGCTCCATGCCACAGCTTCTTCTTAAGACGGTGGTGCAAGAGCCAATGTTCTGAGCTAGAGAGAGCTGTAATTCAACTCTGTATTTAAACTTTTTTTTCACAGGCTTCATAAAAGCCTGCAGGAGCATGTGTCTTAAATCTGATACAGACACTGGCAGAGAACACAGTCACAATTTTGCTCTTATTCCATTTTACACTACCAATGGTGCAGACTTGCTAAATTAATTGAAGCAAAGCATGATACTCTTATATAAAAATAATTACCTGAAATGTGAACTTTCAGCATGTAATTGGTGCCCTTCCAGGACCCACCTCCAAACATATATCTTTATATTTTGTTTGTTACAAGACATCTCTAAGAACTTACTTATATATTGAGAGCATTTTTACCAAACCAGACTGTGAGGCTGCACAATAAAAATTAATATACTTTTTATTGGAAAGAAATGGAAGATTGTTACATCTTAAAGAAAAATTTAAAAAGCAGATTTAACTCTTTATAGCATTAGTAATAGTTAATTTTCGATCTACACGTATTGTATTCAGAGTTCTGCTACATTCTGTGATAGCTTCAGGGAATGAAATTAACGGTATTGTGAGTAAAGCAATAAGGATCAAGAACAAATGTCAGCCTTTAACCATCTTTAGTTGTTTGTTGCTTTAACCACCTTTAACCATCTTTAGTTGTTAGTTCCAATCTTTGATTTCCAAGTTGTAGCTCTCTCAAATCCATTTCTTGCATTTTTGAAGTCATCAATGGCTTGAAGAATTTCGTCCTGGGTGTTCATTACAAATGGACCTAAGAGATACATTGTACATTTAATAGAATTAATATAATCCTGTATTATTCTGAATTGTAGGGTTTCTATGAAAGGATTCAAATCACATCCCAGTCCTTCTCATCTTCCCCCCCCCCTTCTCTCCTTTAGTCCTCAAGTCTCATTTCTCAGGCTCTGTTGTATTGAGTGCCATTCCCCAGAAGTATTAAAGGTAGTCTTCCTTTAGTGACTGCCTTGTTTAATGACCATTCACAGTCAGTGATGAAAAATTAAATTTATGACCAATCCTCGCATTTATGACCTTTGGTCTGTAAAGCAAAGGAAAGCTGAAGGAAAATCATAAGCACAGTCACAGTTTCACCTAGCAACCACTTTGTGAGTTGCCAATCCCAACTGTGGTCACTGAACAAGGACTACCCGTACAGTGTGATTTGCTCTCTAGTCTTAAATGCAACTTTTCTCTTTTTATTCTCTTACACAGTGGAGAGAAATATTAGGCATTCTACAGTACTGTAGAATGGGGCTTATGATCTTCCTTCGGCTTTCCTCTGCTTTACAACCCTGCAAAGGTCATAAATGCAAAGATTGGTCATAAAGTTACCTTTTCATCACTATCGTAACTGCGAATGGTCACTAAATGAGGCAGTCACTAAACGTGGACTACCTGTAATACTTCTGGAGAATAGTATATTTAAATAAAATGGGAACCTGCTGTAGCTTACAAAAGAAGAAAAGGGCAAGGCAGAAGCAGGAAGGGAAATATTAAGTGTTGCCCTCTGAGATCTGTCCCTATGAGCTCACAATAATCTTTCTTTGCTGGGGTTCAAAGTGAAAACAAAGGCTTCCATTTAACCTGACGGAACCAGAATGTTCACATACTTTGTGTCCTGAGACCTCATGCATCTCCTCTACCACAGTGCCTAATCAGTACGGGCTGAGCTCAGAAGCTAAGCAGGTTCTGCCCTACTTAGAACTTGGATGGAATGGGTATTCCAGGGCTACTGGATTTTTAAAAATCCAGAAAAATAAAAATTCAACAGCAAACCACTTCTGTAATATGGCCAAGAAAACTGCATAGATGAAGTCACCAGGAGTGGAAATGTCTTGAAAATGTCTTTTTATATACTCACAGACACGCACTGAAGTTGGCATAAACACAAAATATAAATGCATGCACATATAACGTATACATGCATGCATGCCCAGTCCGATTAGAATAACCATATGCATACACACAAGATAGCAAACATGATTATTTCTAGATTCTAGATCACTAGATCATCATCTATTTGGATGCTAAAGAAGATGCAACTAGAAGAAAGATGGGATAGCTTCTCCAATTCCGCCTGACTCAGCTGCCCTCCATGAATCTGGAGGCAAAAGTCTGCAGCAGGCCGTTTGCTGCATACTCTCAGTACAGTTTAAAACCCTGCAAAATCCTGGTTTGAAATCATACAGAAAGCCTACATGAATATAGCAGGCTCAGAGAATCAAAGAACTGGGGAGTCGGAAGGTCCCCAAAGGATAATCTAATCTAGCCAGATATGCAGAAAAACCAATTAAACTGGGAAGGTCCCAAATCTGTATTTAGAATTAGTGACAGACTGGAGGAAGTTGGATATCCAACAATTATATCCAGGCAATATAGATTAGGATAGGATGCCTGGTTGCCCTGGATTCTCAGGGTTCAGGTTAGGAGAATGGGCTATACTTGGATCAGGCTATGTTATTAAAGAGTCGGGCATTAGTTGTGGGTATGCTTTTGTTTACCTTCCTGGTAGATTTCTACATGCTACCTATAAACTGGACTACTGTCCTGCATTCGAAGCTACTTCAAGATTTCATCTGTTACCAGAACTGTACTAACTGAAGCGCTGAAAGCAGGTGTCTTTTTTATTGTGTAAATTGCACTGGCTGCCATTTCATTTGAAGTATGGGCTATTTACTTTAAAAACCTGGGCCTTACTATTTGCAGGACAATGTGAATGTGTGCGTGCACACACACTAAACTACACCTAAACATGAGAGAAGTATGGACGAAATGAAATGGATAGGTTTACAGAAGTGGCAATGGGCTGGCTATATTGCACAACAAACAAATCAATGCTGGACAACGACAGTCCTTGACTGGGTAACAATTGACCTTAAAAGACCCAGAAAATGTCCAAAGAAAGTGTGATGAAACTCAATTCAAAAGTGTTAACTGGAAACAACCTGCGGCATGTCAAAGTAGTTGGAAAGCAGCTGAAGAAGCCTTCTTCCTGCAGTGGACTCACTTACAATGAAAGTGGCTTAATTTTAAAATATTTACCATGTTGAATCACTGTTTCCTTAATTGGCTCGCCAGCCACCAAGACAAAATGACTTACTGCAGGATCCTAGAATTAAAAGAAAACATCAATGTATATTCTGAGGTGAGATATTCAGATCAAGAATATCTTTTTCATTAATACTCTAGTCTTGTTCAGATAACTAAATCACACAATGAATGTTAGTCTCTATAAATGTCCCACCCAGTCCATATGATAACCACCACAAATCTGAAAAAGAGAATCTGCTTGGCATAGAGGGGCTTCCCCGTGATTTAGGATTGTGGGCTACTAATGCATGGAAGTGGTTTATCTATGAGATGGATCGTGGAATACAGACAGTACAGATTCTAGGGAATCTGATGAATACGGCTGCCGCTGCTGACCCAACACAGCGTTTAACTTGTGATTCTGAATGTTCAAATAATATATATATTTATTTATTTATTATTTATTTATACATCACATTTATATAGCCGCCCATCTCTCTGGTTCCCAAAGACCCCCAGGCCTGATGATGCAACCAGGTCTTGAGGGACTTCCTAAATGACAGCAGGGAAGGGGCGAACCTCACTTCAAGGGGGAGAACATTCCACAAGGAGGGAGCCACAGCAGAGAAGGCCCACCTCTTGGGACCCACTAAATGCAAGTCCCTGGCTGATGGAACCCATAGCATACCTTCCCTGACAAATCTAATGGGACAGGTTGATGTAATTGAGAAGAGGTCCATCAGATAACCTGGCCCCATGCCATGAAGAGCTTTAAAGGTCAAAACCAGCACCTTGAATTGGACCCAGAAGCAAACTGGCAGCCAGTGCAGCTTGCAAAGCAGAGGTGTAATATGTGCTCTTCTAGAAGCACTCATAACTGCCTGCGCTGCTACATTCTGCACCAGTTGAAGCTTCCGGGTACTCTTCAAGGGCAGCACCATAAATACTTCATAAATATATGGAATATTTCAACATATAAAGAATTAAGAATTATGAGGAATAAATTGATTACCAGTCTAAATAAAATGTGGAAGGCAGAGAAAAATAGTTTGGAATTGTATCTAAAGACCTTTATTTTCTGCAATAAATGTGCAGTCCTATTAAAGAGATCCTCTTGGTCCTTTTCAGACAGGGTTAAGGCCTGGGCAGAAATAGCATTAGGTGGATGTCCTTCATCAGGCCTTGGATGGACAGTCCTGTTAGACCTTTCAACAAAGCTTAGTACCATCTATTATGGTATTCTTCTGGACTATCTATATTGCCTTACTTAGAAAAGAGGAGAATTCTTGTAAAACAGTACCAGACATCACCAAATCTTATAGATTCTATAATATTTGGTGGTGGCTGGCATTATTTTACAAGAATTCTCCTCTTTTCTAAGTAAGGCAGTTCCTTTTTGCGGTTGCGGGGGAGCAAATGCTCAAACCCTTAGTTAATATTTTGTGAGGTAGCCTAGGGCTTAGGTTTCTCCTCCCTGCTATTTAATGTCTATATAAAACCGAAGGAAAAGGTCACCCTTTCATTTGGGGAGAAGTGTCATCAATAGGCTAATGATCCCCAGCTGTGCAGCTCTACTCCAGGCAAAACTAGAGACGCTGTGGGGGTTTTATTCCAATGCCTGGAGGCTGTGATGGACTGAATGGAGAAAAAACAAACTAAAACTGAATTCCAGCAAGATGGACGTACTATTGGTTCAGAAGTAATCTTTATCCATGTCAACTCCTATGTTGGCTTCAGACAGGGTCACTTTCTTCCCAAGTAACTATTCCTTTTATTGGTTATCAGGGGTTCTCCTAGACTCAGGACTACCACTTTATCAACACTTGGATAACCTTTGCCCAGCTTGAGATGGTTGCAGCTCCATTTACAGTGGGAGGCTCTGGTGAGTTGCTCATATCTTCATTGTCTTAAGGTTGAATTACTGCAATGCCCTTTACCTGGGGCTACTTTTAAAGACTTCCCATCAACTCCAGTTGGTGCCGAATGGGATGGCCTGACTGCTGATGCATAATCCCCACATTAACAAGGAGAGATGGGTGTTGCAGGCATTGCACTGGCTGCCAAGGTATTTCTGAGTACAGTTTGAAATGTTGGTTTTAATTTATAAGGCCCTACTTGGCTAGTCCCCAGCTATGTTCAGGACCACCTCTTTCAAGTTAAATCTGCCAATTCTGTAGCATGAGGGGATGCTTCAGATTACCCCCATCCCCCCAAAAGAGGGAAGTTGAAGTCTGAAGGCAGGCCTTCCTGGTTGGTGCCCCATCCT